TAAAATTTATCAAAATGGTTCAAAAGGCTGCATGCTAGAGTGTTTAGCAGTGCTTACCTTGAAGGAGTGGGTTTGGAGAAAGTCAGCACATTCATTTTGTGTCTTACAGTGATTCTCTACTGTTTACATTTGTTGAAATTTGAGTGTGCACTTTTATAATAAAAGAAATTTTGGCGGTTATAACTGCCAAAAATTATGCCCACCAATTATGAGAGGCAAAGGACAGGACAATTTTGAGGGTGGAACAGTCTAGGGGTCCTTGGAGGGCTCCCAGGTAGCCCTGAAAGTGAGAAGAGGGGGAGCCTGTGTTGTGTTTTGTCTGTGATGGTTTGTCTGGGCCAGTTTTGTACCAGTAGGCCTCAGTCCATCCTTCCAATCTCTGTTGTGTAAATGACCCCTGGGAATCCTGATCTCCTGTTTAATAAATGGACCTTGGCTCATTCCTATTTTATTGACTTGGCTGTTTCTTGATTTGACACCTAGGATGGGGAAAACATAAAATAGCATAAAAGGGACAATTTGCAGGTGCACATGGCTCCATGTCTCTGATTTCATATTGAGTCCCGCCTGGCTCTAGTCCCCTCCTGCACTGTGACTTTGAACCATTTGTGCTCTGGCAGGGGAAACATGACTTTAACACGCAGAAGGTGCTGACTGGGTCCCAGGCTGTTCACGCTGATAGAAGACCATAGCATTTTATTTCTTGGTCATGGATACAGACGTACCAAATCAGCATGTTTTTTTCTTTCTTTTTTTTATTTTTTAAAGATTTTATTGGGGAATTGGGAGAGGGAACAGCATTGGGGAATCAGGGAAGGGGAACAGACAAGCTGCTGTCCTTTTGTTCTTCAATCTAGTTGTGGAGGACGTCGCTTCAATGGCCCATGTTGGTATTATCATTGCGCTCTTCCTGGGTGAGGCAGTCGCTCTCTGGCCATTGGACAGCCGCTCACGCTGGCTGCCAGCCACCAATGGTAGCTCACCGCAGCCCACTTCAGCCTACGCCTACGCCATCAGGGGCCACTCACAGCAGCCCCGCTCCAGGTTGAGCTGTTGTTCACCATCTTAGCTATAGAGGGCGCAGTGTCACTGTCCCGCATGTGGGATCCTAACCAGGGCCCTGCGTTCTGAACTAGGACACCAGAGGTGGCCTCCCAAGCCAACTCTTAACCAGTACGCTACTCGGCTGGCCCTCTTTTCTTTTTTTTAACTTCGGGGAACTATTTTAATTTTGACCTCTGATACCATATCCTGAGAACACTGATGAGTGTGGCCTCGTTTTCTACATCTGGGGCCTTTCTGCAGAAAGCATCAGAACTTTTGCTGAGTTTTGTGGGGTACCCGTGACTCTGTCACGTGTCATCTCAGGCTCCTAGCATCGGAGCGCTGTCCCCTCTGTGCAGTGTGGTGCAGCAGGTGAGAAAACAGGGTTAGATGTGTGCTCACTCTTGCCACGAGCTAGTCTGGAGACCTGAATTTGGCCCGCTGAGAGGTCTACACAAAGTGTCACGTAAGTCGAAGAGAAGTTACATTTTAGAGTTTCAACAGTGTCCTCTCTCCTGAGGAGTAAAGGCCTGGGCCAGGAGTAAGGCCGCCAACAAATTCTCTGTTGCTTGGATTGAGGTCTGCTCCTTAGCTATGGAGACTGGTTTACTCAGGCTCCACGAGGAACTTGTCACCTCTCTAGGGAATTGTGGGCAAGGAGAAGTAACACCTACCGGACCTGGCCAGAGCCCAGCACAAGTGCCCACCAGCTGTGAGAGCTTGGGGCACATGGTCTGGTGGTGGGGCCCCACCCCTCCCAGACCCTAACGTGTGATGGGTGATGCCAGAGGGAGAATGGAAAGAACACACCTGGGCTCTGAGCGGATTCTCCCACCTGCACTTGGCCCACTTCCTCCCTGGGGTCTGGGGAAATAGCTTTTTAAGACTCGAGATTGCTTTTGCTGAGGAGGAGATACATCTAGCAAATTTGAGCTGCAGCCCACCATGGTACCCATGGGTACCCAGGCTCACATAAACTAGAACATTTTTTTTTTAAAGATTTTTATTGGGGAATTGAGGGGCTAGGAACAGTGCTGGGGAATTGGGGGAAGGGGAACAGACAAGTTGCTGTTGTTTTGTTCTTCAGTCTAGTTGTGGAGGACGTTGCTTCACTGGCCCAAGTTGGTACCATCATTGCGCTCTTCCCAGGCAAGGCACATCAGTCGCCGGCTTCTGGACGGCCGCTCACTGCGGCTGCTGGCCGCTCACGCTGGCTGCTGGCTACACACGGTAGCCCATGGCAACCCACTGCCACAGGGGCTGCAGCCTACGCCGTCTCCAGCGACTCACGGCAGCCCAGCTCCAGGCTGAGCTGTTGTTCATCGTCTTAGCTGTAGAGGGCAGTGTCACTGGCTCTCATATGTGGGATCCGAACCGGGGCCCTCTGGCGTCCCAAGCCAGTTCTTAACCATCGCGCCACTTGGCCGGCCCTAAACTAGAACATTTGAACCCAAATATACCTCTGTCCACTGGACCATAGTTCCTCCTAGTTATCCTGGAAAGCTTTCTCCTATTCTCCCAACCCGCTAAATTGTCAGTTCCATTTGGACCACAGGCCATATCTTCCACACTGAGTACAACACCTGGAGTGTAGCTGCCCCATAAAGAACTGAACGAATGAATTCACAGATCACCCGGCGGAACATGGTTATTACTGAGATCTCAGTGCTGACCACCAGGTGGCTCTCACCTCCCTCAGGCCCGGAGGCTTCTCCAGGAAATTACACTGTTGCTGGACCTTATGGACTTTTGCGAGTTAAAGACACCTGCCTGGAGTCACACCATTAGTTAACGACACAGCCAGGGACAGAACGTAACTCACAAAATATTCAAGCTCTGAAGTCATACCCAGATTCCTTAGGGCCTGGCTGGACCCGGACGTCTATGTGCGCAGTGACAACTTCACATCAAGTGAAAAATTCGGCAGGACCAGTGCGTCAGGTGAGTGCAGTTGGTGACAAGTGGGCTAATGTCCCCAGATCTTTTGTGATTTCTGCAGCGAGGCTCCAAGTGGGTTCTCGACCAGCAGTATCAGCCACACCTGGGAACTTGCTAGAAAAGCAGCTTCTCAGGCTCAACCCAGACCAGAGGAACCGGCTCAGTTACGGCGGAAGAAGCCCTCGGGGTGGCTGTGCGGGCAGGGCCCTGGGAGGGCATTCGCACATGATGCCCCTGACTCCATCTACAAACTTTATTTGGGGGTTAAGTGGTGGTGAAGGTAATGCAGGCACAGCGGCCACGTGTTGCCACATGTTCGAAGAGCCCCCTGCGGCCCTGCATTTCCCAGCCCTTTCTGCCTCTCTTCCTTGTACACAAAACCCCACAGCAGCGGTTCTCAACCTTTCACAGGGGTCGCCTAAGATCATCGGAAAACACATATTTTCGATGGTCTTAGGAACTGAGACACCGCTCCTCTGTCTCCAGGCCCACATGCAGATACGCCCACATACGAGTACCTGGCGACCCCTGTGAAAGGGCCATTCCATCCCCAAAGGGGTCGCGACCCACAGGTTGAGAACCGCTGCCCCACAGGCTCTCATCCCTGATTCACGTGGGGCAGCTTAACAAGGTGAAACACACAGCACTGTGCCCAGGATTCTGACCCAGTGGGTCCGGGCGGTGCCTGGGCGACCCATTCCAGGCTCTCCAGGTGCTTCTGAGGCAGCACTGAGGCCCGCCAGATGGTTGCAGTGGGCAGTCACAGGAGAATCAGTGTGAATGTGTCAGGGGTGGGAGTAATTATTTCATAGTGAGAACCTCTAATGGAGAAAACATGGGCAGAACTGAAGGGTGAGTAAGCTCGTCTTCTCCAGCCCATCCCTCATCTTCAGAAAGGTGTGATGGTTTACATCCGTCTAGCTCAGTGGTTCGAGGCGGACCCTGTGACTCTCAGATAGCCCTAACATTGTTACTTGCCTTGTCCATGTCCTCCTCTCACTTTAGTGTTTCCAGATGCTAAATGACGTGATAGCATCACTGGTGATAGCAGATGAACGTATACTTATTTTGGTCTTAAAAATGTTTTTTCTTTTTTAATTGGGGAATTGGGGGAGGGGAACAGACAAGTTGCTGTCCTTTTCGTTCTAAAGTCTAGTTGTGGAGGACGTTGCTTCACTGGCCCATGTTGGTATTATCATTGTGCTCTTCCCGGGTGAGGCCAGCCATTGGACAGCTGCTCATGGCAGCTCACGCCAGCTGCCAGCCAGCCCCGCTGTAGCCTATGCTGTCACTGGCGACTCACAGCAGCCCAGCTCCAGGTCAAGCTGTTGTTCACCATCTTAGCTGTAGAGGGCGCAGCACCCCTGGCCCGCATGTGGGATCTGAACCAGGGCCCTGCTGTTCAGAGTTGGCGTCCCAAACCAACTCTTAGCCAACGCGCCGCTCGGCCGGCCCTGATTCCATTTCTAATAGGATGCATATCAATTACATAGCCCTGAAAGATCAAAAACTCCAGGGGGGACTTTAGTAAATTAGTGTAAAGGGGCTTCTGAGATGAAGACTGGGGATCATGGATGGCATCTACAGACACTTTATTTTTCCTGTAACATTGGGGTAAGACTGGCCCAATGCACTCCCTAAGAAGTCAGTCAATAGTGATGAACCATGAGGAAAGTTTCTTCATACCCACTCGAAATGATAGGGCCGAAAAGCCAGTAGAACACGAAGAAACTAGGGAAAGCGACAAGGGACCTCTCTGGGAAGTGAACCAAAATAGGAAGCTAATTTGCTACTTTGATTTACTCCACAGACTTCTAACTAGAAAAGGGCTATGGCAACCCAGAGGTTCCCGAACTAACTAACGGGCTATTCTTCCGACGAAATGTGCAATGGCTGGAAGTCATTTCAGTGGGAACTCAGCCAATTCCAGACCCACCTGGACCCCGGCAGATGGTGTGTGGCCTTTCCCTCCCCGCCACCAGGTAATTCCTCAAATTAGAGACACCAGCACAAGATGCTCACTTTTCCGCATACTTTATTTGTTACAAACATACAATTTTTAAATATAGACTGTAAAACTCCATTTGCAAAAGTCTGCTATTGTAAGGAGTACACACCAGCAGTAAGGATTCTTAAACTTTCTCTGTGAGTTTTCTGTCAGTTTTGCTAGTTAGTGGTAAATACGGGACCGCCACTTAGAGACCTGTCTGAAGCTGCTGGCCGTATTCACACTGCTCTTCTGAAGAAGCCCTGCTTATCTGGAACTGACCCATGTGAGCTGCAACCTCCAGGCAGTGGGATCAACAGCCCATGAGACTCTGCTTTCAACAGTCTCCAGGAAGTGTGATTCTGAACAGGTTTGTTTGAATTGCCCATGCAGCTGTTTGTTAAAGTGCATTCTTCTTTTAAAAATAGGAGGAATAATCTTTACTCTTTAACCAAGGTACTTAAAAAAATGAACTTTTTGGTCTCTCAGCAGATATTCCCAAACTGATCCTATCACTACAAATTTTAGTGTTCTATTTACAAATATTTATAGGGTTACAGGTGGAGGGGACCTTATAAAAGTAAAGGTGCGGCTTCTCTTGAAGCAGAAATCAGTCCTACAAATTCACACATAGGACACACTTGGTTTACAACGCACAAGCACGTGGGTATTTACAGAGACTGACACAACCCAAAACGGCCGTAAAGTAACCCCGACCCAAACTCTACTTGTCCACCTACATCAGGAAACTGTCTCCTGCTACCCAGATCTGTTTTGACTTCATTCAAATCATGGCTGTGGGTTCCCCACTGGGAGGACATCCACCCCACTCTGGAGCGAAGACTCCATCTGGGGAAGCCCTGGTAGGTGGCTGGCGGGAAGGCTCCTATAGAATGGAAAGTGTTATCTGGAAACGCCTCAGGAGACGGGTGGATTTTAAAAACAGATCGTGGAAAAGCATCTGCATGAAGGTGCAAGAGGAAGAATAAATCCCTATTAATTTTTCTAGAACTTTAGAAAAAAGTTATTATACACTAATAATCTCATTATCCAAATATTGATAATCATTGAAAAACTCAAATGTACTTGCCTGCTACCATAACGTGCAAAACAGTTGGCTTTGTAAGTATGCCCTGCACTGACTTAAAATCGGTGTCTGGCTGGGTCCCTCCATTAACCTCTAGGGGTCCAGACTTTCTGTACAGAGAGGCTGGGAGAAAAGGGTTTAGGTTTCACATCTGAACAGTTTAAAGCAAACTCCCAAATTCCTAAAAATGTGCTTAGGGTTATAATCCTGTTTTTCAATTTTCTTAGGACTCTCCCTGCAATTGTATGTCCCTGAAAAAGTAATTTTAAAAGGGAAAAAATATACTACTTGCCATGCTATTTCCAAATATCAAGACTTGTGAACCAGCCTGCTCTCCTTGAGAGAGGGTAAGCCTGGGGACATGTCTGCCTCTGAGAAGGAAGAGGTGGTCTAAATCAGTTTTCTCGAAAGACTTAGCTGTGGAAGTTATTGAAGGTAGGATAAAAAAGACAGACTGTCTTTTGCAATATGCTACTGGACAATGAACTTGGACAGGTCTACCACTTTCTCTCCAACAGTCCACGATTCGTCATGCTCAAGATATACACAGGGAAAGTGAGATATGCTCTAGATCCAAAATCTCATGTTAAGTACACGGACAGTCATAGTCCCTTTTATCAAACCTTTTGTTAGAATCACCTATAGAAAAAAATGGTAACATTTAAGCTTCAAATGACGCTCTGTCCTCCCTTTCCTAGAAGTCCTACTGAGCAGCAAAACTACGACACGGCAGTTGCTATTGTTTTAACATGACGTCACTTCTCCCAGATGGAATGTCTAATTCAAGAGGCATGAGTCTGGTTTTCAAGTGAGAAGAGACTGAGTCCAGGTGATTACACTGATGGCATATTCCCTATTTCATTAGGAAATGTAAAATACATTCATAAAGGTCTTACTTGGATCAGACATATGGATATAAATTGGAAATTACTTGAGTAGTCTTCATGATACAATTTTATTATTTTCTAAATTTAATTTTCGGTATTGGAAATTGGACCACATTTGTTGAAATAAGAGTCTGTTAAATCCATCAGTAATGAAACTAAGTTTTAAGACTGAGGACTGGGAATGGTGACTTTTCACTAAATAGCAAAGCTAGCTGTATCAAGAGAATGCATCATCTAGGAGGCTGCTCCTGCTAGCTCTCGCCACTCCTGGGGTCTGACATCTGAAAATTAATGACTGCTTTTCTACATTAAAAATGGGAAATTAAGTTATAATCTGCCATTTCTACCTTATATTTGGAATTTCAAACGGGGCAACAGCATGCACTTTTTTCTTTTTGTCTGTAATTTTTAAGGTAAATGTGGTTCTTTTCTACTCCCCTCCCCTCCCCACCCCCATCCATCAGCCACACTCACACACCCATTATTCAGTTTATTCAATGGGAATGGTGACTGTTTAGGAAGTCAGCTAATTGGCTTACAGGACTCTAAAACCAACCCTGAAAACTGATCAGCTCATTCATTGACTCTAATTTCAGTGCTGTTGACAAAAAAGAAAAAAGCTGCCTTAAGGCTGGAGGGAAAGTAACTAACTACATTGTGAATGCAGCACTGTCACTCTCCATCCACTGGAAGCCAGCAAAATGCATTCTGGATCAGTAACACAAACTTTCTAATTTGCAATGAGCCATATGTACTCTTCTTACCGGTCAGAACCATCTCCACAAGCTGCTTTTCTACGGGGCCTGAGGGACCACAATCCATGTCACACACAGTTCACGTCTTTCACGATAAAAAAGTGCTTTATCTTGAGAAAAATGTCAGGGTTAAAATGGCAACATACAACATAAGATCACTCCACATGTTCTCAATGAAGTATAAAACAGGCAAGGAGCAAAAATAGACGGGAGGCCCTGCTCTCTGAACAGGCCTCATGCGCATGACTTTCAGGGAGGACTAAAATGAAAACTGTTTTAAGAGTTAACGGTGGGATTTTACACCATTATACTATTCTACAACCTGAGCTTGGACACCAAAGCAGTGAACTTCGTACTTATCAGAGCAATTCTGATACTTCCTAAAAATAGAAGACAACTCAATTGGATTACTAACTCCAGGGTCAAAACATGACATTTCCCCGATCAATAAGAAGACACGTTAGACACTAAGAGTGCTGCAGACGACTCGGCAACGAGCCGCTTTTACAAAGCAAAGTCACTTTCTCCTCCCCCTTCTCCCCATCAAGGCCACACTATTTTCAAATGAATATCTACTGAGAGATCAGTTGTGCACTGGACAAAGTACCATAATTGGGTTCAAATGAAAACAGAATTTACAGTGAAGAATACTTATGTGCACGGCTTACACACTCAGGCTTCTTAATGTCGTTCACCTCAGGAACAAGGTAGACGCAAATGAACTGTCACCTTTTAACACCTTGTGCAGATCATTCTACCCCCTGTAAAGCCAGTCAAGGTCACATTTAACAAAGCGTCCTCAGCAACTCAAGCGCCTGAAGTGTGCAGCCGTTTACAGACCACTCAATATGAGGGCATTACTATAACCGCCTCTCTTGCCCACAACCCTGCTTTTTCAGATAAGACAGAATAATTGTTTTGATTTGAGAAAACTGAAGTTTGAATCTCTTAAAAGACCTGCAATTTACTGCAAAGTGATCAAGAGGTAAGAAAGGAAGCAGGAGGTTAATGGCTGCCCACATGGAAAGCCTCTCAATCATTTTGCAGTAAATAATTATGGAAAGTGACCTGACAAGTAGCCGTGTGAGCATCACAGCTCCAGTCATTGTACCACCTACATGCCTCCCACAGTAACATAGGGTGTCTGGGTTTTGGTTTGGTTTTCGCTTTGATTTTTGGTGCCATCCAGATTTACACTGTGTTCGGTGCAGCATATGCACTGACAACGTCCTCTGCTGACTAGAACTACCGTTCTACTCGACTGACAGATAGGGACAATAGAAACCAGAAGGGATCCTGGGATCTCGTCACAGAGTGTTGCTTTCAATTCTGTTCCTAAAATTGGACTTCTCACTTCTGTAACTGCAGCCATTTGAGAAAGAACATTCTATCAATTATCGGAGAAGAATTTTACTTCCCTACTTCTCAGGCACATGGCGATTTTGAACATGTCATTAGCTGGGATGTTTGCCAAGGTCAAAATACAAGCCCTAAATCACTGTTCACAGCAATGGTTGAAAACACAACATTTTCTGCCTGGATTTAACAACGATCATTTCTTTTAATAAGCAATATTTACGACTGAATTTTGGAAGATGGCCCATTAATATCACCTCGTTTAATAAACACATCAGAAGTGTCGTCTCTGTGCTTTGCAGGTTTCTATTGTCCCTAGTGACTGGAATGAGGATCAGTGAAATGCTACATCAATCCTCAGCCTTCTGTAACCCTCCTGCAGAGGGAAGAGAGGCCATCGACCACCTCTGCAGGAGAAACAGACCTCTGAGATTGGTTAAGACTTAAAACCCACCACTATGACATTTTTTTACCACTGACTCTTACATAGGCAGGTCAAAATTTTAATATAAATTACTTTTCCAACACATAGCTTATGCATTCTTTGCTCCTTTTTTTGGAGGATTCTCCAATTGATATCTAAAGATTTACATATGATATATTACTGTTCTATGGTCTAATGACTAAGAAAACTTCTCTGGTAACCAAAGCTGATTCCATATATGGCAGTGTTCTTGGCATATACTCGTACATGCCTCAGACCACTTCCACAGTCTTTCTATTCAGCTAATTATAGCTTAGTAGCCACTGGTGAAGGATTGTGAAGACCCTGTCATTTCTACAGAATAGAAAGGCAAGGCTAGTTACTGCAATTCAGCCAAACAAAAAGAAAAGAAAAAATAAACCAGCCCCTTAAAAAGGAGAGGTACTGCACCTTTGCAAAACTGAACTGGCTCACTGCCGCTGAGCAACAGGACCACCGCTGAAGCAAGAAAGCAAATTGGTCTACACAGGAATTGTACATGTTTCGAAAATGAAGAACTTACAGCAGCCAACTTACAGCTGCAACCTTAATTCTCATTGCTGCCTCAGAGTTTGAAACTTAAACAGTTTCTGCAAACCTAATGCTAGTTTCTCAGCTCCTTTACTAAAACTATTTAGGGTTTTGTTCTCCGCAGCAAAGAAATAAACACTCCAAACACATAGGTAAGTACAGCAGGACATTATTGAAAACAGCTGCCTTGTGGTACAAAATACAGTACAAGTATACGGATGTCATTAAAACATCGAAAATACTATTGCTCCCATACGATTTAGGAAACATTCTTTGCAACGGAGAAAAATTTTGAAAAAAGAAAAGCTTAAAAAAAAACTGTTTAAAAAGTCTACTGTGGACGATGAGTAGAGAAATAGTCTGAAAAGGGCACCGATGTTTGTGGCTCTTCCACTTAAAAAAAAAAAATCTAAGATTAACAGTATTCTGAATCATAGTCTAATTTTTAAAAAAGCCTAATTTTATATACACATTATATTCCCTCCCTCTCAGCCACAATGCATGAAAACAAACTTTTTGTATATTACTTATTTCCCAATAAATACAAAAAGATTGTATATATTGAATAATACCAAAATAATAAAAAGGGTATGCAATAAATTAAAAGGCAGCTCAAATAAAGGGCAGTCATGCAGTTAAAAAAAATACTAGGATCGTGGAGGTGGGGTTGCCTCCTAGTTGAGAAGGTGTCACACAAAGCATACCTGAAACTTTGGAAAGGACATTATCTCCCATTCGACTCAAAGTTAAAGTTACCTAGGTCTGTGACATTGCTAGGAATGAATACCTTTCGATGGGGCAGGATTAACTTGATTAGTAAAAACCATTTCTACTGAAAATCCAGTTAAAATATAGAAGAGGCGATCCTTGAAAACCCCAACTTTTATTCTTGAAAGACAGCTGGATAACCTGGCAAAAGCCAGTTTGTTGAAATTTCAAGATGGTATAAAAATGCTTCCAGGAGATAGTCAGCACATTCGCATTCACTCCGGCTCCATTCGGATGGATTTCAGCTTCCAAAGGGCACGCTGCTGGAATCGCGCATCCATCATCTGCCAACTTTGATTGTGAGGTACTGATACAGTGGATCAAGTTCTTAAAATTCTATTTTAAAAGAATAAATGATGCTGGAATTCTGGACCTGAGGATCTTTAGTATCTGAACAAATCCACAGATTTAACTGAAGGTAGAGGAAGACTTCAGTTTTGGTTATCTCCAACTTTTCTGTGAGAATGTATATTCCATTAAAGCTCAGGCTTGTAGCCACAGTTCCTTTTTCAAGTTTTATGGTTTAAAATCCAGCCAACCAGTGGCTAAAACAGCCGAATTAGCCACAATTCACTGGCTCACACCGGGGAGCCACAAGGATCTGGCTCTCATTCATACCTAAGCCAGTTCTTGGTAATGACCTCCATGTTCAGAGATCAGGGGAAGAACTTTAGTGAGCAGCAACCAGTCCACTCAAACAGTTTTTTTCCTTGTGCTTTATGCCTGACTTTTCCTTGTGCCTATCTCAGCAACCCCCAATGTAAAACTGCTCTTTCGTCTTCAAGAATTTTTGCCAACTTTTAAAATATTTTAGTAATAGATTCTAGTTCAAGACTGTCACCTGAACTCATCTGCATCCTGGAAAACAATTCTGCGAAGACAAGACATGGGCCTTGGTCCAGGTAGCGTGCAAAACCATTCTGAATAAAATGGATGCAATCTGTTGTATTCCCCAGTGACTTCTTAAATTCCTATTTTGCCCTGTCCGTGATGATTTAACGTTGCATTCCTTTTCATGAAACCTGTACCCTCAGAACCGGTAACTGCAAAGGTCTCTCTTCTCAAGAATTCCATGAAGATCTAGATCCAAAATGCTCATTTCAAAGGAGGTGAAGGGATAGACACTGCAACAGTGAGGTCTGGTGACATCTTTCCACCAGGTTCTCAAGTGCAACACAAACTCAGCTGTTATCAAGGGGTAAGGGCACCTCAGAGGTGTTCCTTGGGGCCCGGGGTGGGTGGTGTGCGAGGACCTGTCCCGGCCAGGGCTCTCCTGATGGGTTTAGGAACCTCGGCTGGGAAGCAACAGAAGCTGAGACAGACTGCTCAGCTGAAACGCGGCTGTTGTCCGGTCTTCGCAGGCTGCTGTCAGTTCCTTGCAACTTTCCTGCTTTTCTCTAATAGTCCATGACTGTTCTCTTATGGTTATTTCTCATCATCAACTACATTGTTTTAAATTCTGTTTTCTCCCTGTGGGGCCTCCCTTGTTCCCCGGCAGGTGGCTCACTGGGGATGAGCAGGAAGGGGGACGGAGGTGGGGTGGGGGGGCCCGTCGGGGAAGCGGCAAGTCTCAATCCTCATCCACCTCCTCGCCCTCAGACTCGTCCCCGCCGCGTCGCTCATAAAGCTTATCCCTCTGCCGCTCCTGGATCTCCTTCATCTCATCCGCATACCGGCAAAAGGCGCCCCCGAACTTGCCCCAGGCCTTGAAGGGGACGGTGATGGCGTTGCGGTAGGACGGCTTCACCTCGCTCACGCGCAAGAACACGCCGTACTTGTTGCAACCCACGTCGAAGAAGAAGCGCTTGGAGTCCACCGTGATGGAGGTGCCCTCCGGGAGCTCCCCGTACAGGCCGCCACCGGGGCCCCCCGCGCCACCGCCAGGGCCGCCCGCCAGCTCGTCGTCGTCGCCGCCGTAGTCGTCGATGAGCTTGGCCAGCGCGTCGCGGAACTCGATGAGGCCCTGCGCGGGCAGCGCGATGGTCTGGCCGCTCTGCAGGCCGCCGGGAGCGGGGCCGCCGCCGCGCGTCACGGTCTGGCGGATGCGCAGGAAGCGGCCGCGCTGGTTCTCCTTGAGGTCCAGGTAGTACTTGCGGTTCTCGCGCACCAGGAACTCGCTCTTGAGCGCGCGCCGCGGCCCGCCGCCCTCCTCGGCCGCCGCCGCCGCCACCTGCTCGGGGCTGCTGGGGCCCAGCTGCGCGTAGTGCTCGATGAAGTCGCCCAGGTAGTCGCGGAACTCGGCGGCCACGGCCATGGACAGCGTGAGGCGGCTCTTGGAGCCGCCCGCGCCCACCTCGGCGATCTTGAGGAAGCGGCCCTTGGCGTTCTGCTTCACGTCCAGGTAGAAGCGCTTGTTCTGGATGTCCAGCCGCTTCGAGGCCAGCTCCTGCGTCTCCTGCTCGCCGCCGCCGCGGGACGCGGGCTGGAAGCCGCCGGGCCCGCCGCCGCCGCGCTCGCTGCCGCTGTCGCCGTCCGCCATCTTCTCGGCCGCCGCG